CCAAGAGCAGAGCCTTAAGAAAAAGAATAAAATTTGAATGATGGAAATTTCAGGTATCAGTGAACTGAATGTCTTCAGGTGACTCAGGGAGCCCTCTTTGTACCACACCCTCCCGCCAAAAGATCACATTATGTAGGTAGGCACTTACTTTATCTAAGCCCCAAAAGGGATCGTGTCTTTTTTTTTGAGACAGAGTCTTGCCCCAGGCTGGAGTGCAGTGGTGTGATCTCGACTCACGGCAACATCTATCTCCCAGGTTCAAGTGATTCTCCTGCCTCAGCCACCCAAATAGCTGGGGTTACAGGCACACACCACCACACCCAGCTAATTTTTGTATTTTTAGTAGAGATCGGGTTTTACCATGTTGACCAGGCTGGTCTTGAACTGCTGACCTCAAGTAACCCACCCACCTTGGCCTCCCAAAGGGCTGGGATTACAGGCATGAACCACCCCACCTGGCCAGGATTGTGTCTTTATTGCCATTTTATTCCCATTGCCCATCGTGGTGCCAGGCATACTGTAGGTAGTCAATAAATGTGCAATGCATGATAAATAGCAATGGGTGCTCTGGCAGGAAGAGAGAGAGGCCTGTCCTTTCCCTGTAGCAAATCTGAGACAGGAGCCAAGTCCTTTCAAACCTTTCACCAATGACTCATCATAATCAACAAACACTAACTGAGTACCTACTGTGTGCAGGCCTCTGGCTGGACCACAGGCCCCAAACTGACATGTTTGCTAGTAAATCAATTGAGCTTCATTCATTCATTCATTCATTCACTCAGTAAGTCATTGCTGAGCACCTGCTGTGTGTTGACCCGGACACCAAAAAATGAAGACAGCACAGCCTTGGCCCTTAAGGATCTCACCCTGTAGCACCTGAGGACTCCTACAAAGAAGCGCTGTAGCAGGAAAAGCACTTCCCAGGGAAGGGAAGGAAGGCTCAGGTTTCCTAGAGAAAATACATTGCTCAGAGCTTAGAGCCTGGGATGATTCAGCAAAAACCTCCCAGGGACTTGAAGGAACAAAAGACTGAGTGGTCAACAGGGCTTCTTCTGCTAGAACTCTTCTCTGGGGCCTAACCCCCAGGCTCATGACTCTCCCGTTAGTTGTTTAGAGCCTCACAAGCCAGAGAGGGAGTCATTATGCTCATTTCACAGAAGAAGAAACTGAGTTCTGGGGACCTCCACCAACTGGGGAACTGCAGTGGGGAACAAGAGGAGCTGGCAGCTCCTGTCTCCAAGCTTTGTCCTCCCTCTTGTGAGTCACACAGCTACACAACTAGCCCAAAGAACTCACCTTCCTTTACCTCACCCTGCTCTTGTTTTGGTCAGGGGTGATTTTGCTGTTACCATCACCAACATCGCCCCCATTACGAACATTTGTTGGACATTTACTCCTTGCCAGGCTCAGTATAAAGTGATCATGAACTCTTAAAATTCTCACAACTGCATTCTTATTCCCATTTTGTAGATGGGGAAATTGAGGTCCAGAGAGGTGAAGTGACACAATCAGAAAGTGCTAGGACCAGGATCTAAGCCTAGGAAATTTATTTCCAGAGCCCATCCTCTTAATCCCTATATCATGCTACCCCAATAAACCTAACTGAAGCAAGTGAGGCTCAGAGAGGTTGAGGGCCTTGCCTGAAATTACACAGCAAGGAAATGTCAGAGTCAAAATTAGAAATAAGATCTGACTGCCCCCAGAGCCCACACTGTAGCCCATGGCTGGTTAAGGAGGCAGACAGGTGTGAGGCACAGAAAGGAGGGGGCTATTTCTGCAGTGCCTCCTTCACTCTCTCAGCACATCAAGGCTCTCCATCCTGGGTGGCAGCTGAATTATTTAAAATCATCAGCTTCAGCCCACCATGACTGGGTCCCAGAATTATTTTTATCCCAGATTATGGCCACAGCTCTTAACAGAAATAAACCACACTGTTTTCTTCTCGTTGCCTTCACTTCAATTCCTGACTTATCTGCAATTACAATCAGCTCCCCACTGAATGAGGGTGAAGGGCAGAAGACAGGTCCATGTGTCATGGTGGTTTTTATTGGAAAGCCATAAACTCTGTAGGACCCATTCACAGAGAGGGAAAGAGTTAGAGCATCATATCACATCCTACAAGGAAAGCCCAACAGCAGCCACCCCAACCGAATGCACATCTTCAGACAAAGCAGCCAGTGTCTGTACAGGGCAGTAAGAAGGAGAAAGGCAGAGTGAGCTGGGGGAACTGACTTTCCAGGCTACCCCTGTGGAATCACAGAATCTCTGGCTGCTGCCTCTCTCCTGTCAACCAGAAAGGAAATGTCCACATTTATCTCCATGGCTAAGCTTCCTGATTACCAGCACGGGCTGGAGAGACACTGCTGAACATCCTTCCTCTGTGCCTCAGGCTGGATGGGGGGAGTAGGGACTGCTGGAGCCAGGAGTGAGGGGATGATGCCTTGGTCTTCATAATGGTGGGTTTATATGCTGCTGCCATAACTTACTGTGTGGTCTTAGGCAAATTGTTTTTCTTCTCTTGACCCCCCGGAAAGGGTCAAACTAAATCAGAGGTTCTGAACTTGGGAGGCTGCTCACATGGGCATTACAGAGGATCCACCAACCCCCGATGCTGTGTGTTGTGTGTATATGCATCTTTTCAGAGCAGAGGTTCTCCAAGGGGTCCTTGCTGCTACTCCTGAGAAGAGTCTCTATGGAGCCTTCAAGTGCTGCAAAATCTACATCTCTGTGCCCCTGAGGCCATAAATAAAGCAGACCCCTTTCCAGCTGAGCTCAGGATTCTAGAAATCTGGCAAAGTTCTCACAAGAGACTCCCCTATCCCCATTCACCCCAAACAGAGCCTCTCCCCGACACAGGATAAATTCTCAAGCACAGTGCTAACCGTTCCTAGAAATGTGGGCGTGTGCAGTCACTCACACTCACACACATACCTATCTCAGAGTCAGAGAACCCCAGAACTGGAAGGGGACTTAGGGCCACCCAGACAGACTGCCCCATGGCATAGACAGGGAAACCAAGGCCCAGAAAGGGGAGACAGCTGGGACTGGAACCCAGGTTTCCTGACCCAAGTCCAAAGCTCTTTCCAGAAGCTTCTGTTTCCCTCTCCCTGGTGCACAACAATGCACCACTTCAAATGTGACGGGGGAGGAGGGAGGGCGGCCTCTTGGATCTTGGCCAACCCTAAGGAAGTGAGGCAGTGGAGAGATATTTGGGAAGTGTCCACATCTGGGCACCCAAGTCTTAGCTATCCCAGCTGGGCTGGCGTGTACCGTTTGACTAAACCAGTTGTTAAAACTATTAAAACATTAAAATAAAATAAAAATATGAAAATATTAAAATTAAATGGGGAGGCTCCCCTGAGGCCTCCGTGGCTCTCTTGACAGCCCCCTAAGATCCCCCAAACCTCTCCATAATCTAGCAATTAAAAGATTAACACTGAGTACAGCAGGGCTCCCCTAAGATCCCCTATTCCAGGACCCTAGCCATTCTGATCAATTAGTACCAAATTTCAATACTTTAAATATCACCCATAGCCAGATCTGTGGTTCTTTATTCGAACAAAATTTCCATACATTCATTATTCACATTCAAGGCTTCCCAGTGAGGAATCTAAGGCAACTTCCTCCTCAAGGTCACCCAGCAAGGGAAACTAGGAAGAGAAGTTAGGGATTTTGAGTACCAAATCTTTGGCACTAACCACCGGACAACCCTCCCCTTCTGCCTCATATGTCCTGCCTGAGCAGGCACATGCTCTGGGATTTCAGCATCTCTTCTTGGCTATGGGGCTAGAGAAAAAAGGAGTGAGTGAACCCTGCTTATATTTCAGGCTTGCCAATCTCTGACTGTTGTTTTATTCCTCCCACCTCCAAGAGCAAGAATCTAAAAAGGAAATCCTTGGGGGTGCAGAACACTGAGTTGGCCCCTGAGATAATAGCAAAGATGCTGAAAATAAGGGCATTCATTTCCAGAAAAGTAGATGTAATCAAAGCAGAAAGCAAGGTGAAATCCCCTTTTGATGGGTCACAGATTAGCATCAAAGGCATTTCAAAATTAAATGTGAGCTTTTGGATTCAGTTTCAAGGTACTTCCACTTCCCACTCACTAACAGGTTGGTGCAGCCTTTCCCCATCAGGATCTTGGAAAAAGAAACTAGTGCAGGGGGATGGTCTACCCTGGAACAAAACTGAAGCTGGAACCTGGAATCTTTCCCCAGAATTTGAACAAGCTTTTTTCCCCTCCTTCCTTGTGAGATGAACTCAAGGATAGAATCTCCCAAGCTAGTGCCAGGATGCTTCCCCATACAATCACTTACAGGTTACGCCACCTGTGAAAATAAAATATCATCTCCTCTGCAGGCAGTGGCTGCTCCCTTCTGGCCAGTCTGACCACTCATCCTAAGCAGAGTGTGGCCCTTTCCTGGCTCCCACGTCTCCCATCTCAGGAAAGCAGGAACAGCCAACCTCGCAAAAACCATCACAATTAAATTATTCAGCTCTTCCTGGAATTGGGTACAATCTAAGCTCTGTCCTGTGCAAATCTTACCCAGTGTGCTCAGGCAAGAGTTACCCTTCCAGTCTCAGGTGACCCCCTCCCATCCAGGGATAAGCACTCACTTGCTAAGTCAGAATACCCAGAGTTCCTCCATGCCAGACTAGCCACCCCCACAAAGGGTTAACTCTTTCAGAGAACTGCCGGCTACTTTCACCAGGTTCTGCTGCAAAGGAGAGGGCAAACTGGGCAGAAGCCACAATCTTGATCGCATTGCCTACAACATGAGCACATTTTACCCCCTCCCTGGGCACTAAGCCAAAATCTCATTTGGCTTTGGGATGCCGCTTAGGTGATAAAACACTGCAGAATGTAGGCAAATAAGCATAGTCGTTCCTCGATACCCTTCTCCTCCCAACTACCCTTTACCCCACCAGCTCATGCACACACATCACAATTGGGATTCTAATACCCCTAGCCCATCTGCACAACCAAGGAGAATATCACTTACCGCGACGCGGGAGGATTGCAGGGGGAAAGGGTGAACCAAATTCTTGCCAACTCCTCCCTTCCCTGCCGGGTAGGAAGACGCTAAGTCCCAATGACTTGGTTCAAAAGCTCAGCGGAGGTGCCTGAAAGAAAATTGTTCATTTGAGTCTCCTACTCTTCCCAAAATAAAATCAAAGCACCAGTGCACACACGCAGACACACAGACACATCAACTACCCCTAAATCATGCAGGACCAAGACAAAAAGAAATACCACTGCCAGAAGCGGAGAAAACTCGGACCAGCCAGTGAGTCAGTGGACAAGGGACAGTGGCTCCCTCAGACTGTCCTCCACATGGATGAAGGTTTTCGCTCTGTACGCCTCTCTCTCTCTCTCTCTCTCTCTCTCTCTCTCCCTCTCTCTCTCTTTCTCTCTTTCCCTTCTGCCTTCCTTTCCAGTCCGCGTAGGCAACTCCGGGCTGCTGGCAGTAGACGAATCAATTGCTTCCCCAGAGCCGGTTTCTGCCGCGGCTGCCACCACTACTGCAAAGCCCTGTGTGAGCAAGGCAACCGGGGCGGCAGCTTCCCAGTGCAGGGGGAACCGAGCGGGAACCAAGCCTGCCTCCCACCCGTGATTTATGTGTGCGGTGCCTGGAGAAAGAAAGGTGGGAGGCCGGGAGGGGAGGTTGGGCGCACCAGAGATCCCAGCTGGTCGAAACGGCAACCAGGGGATTGGCGGTCAGCACCACGGACAGCGCTAAGATGCGGTGGAGGACGAGATGGGCGGGAAGCGAACCCCTAGGCAAAGAAGTTAAGTAATTGGATGGTTAGAGCAGAGAAGGGGGAGTCCGGAGGGGTGGGGGACGGGACTTCTCGACATCACACAGTCTAGTCGGTGACAGCTTACCTACCACACACTTGTTCTAATACCGTCGCTCATTCTCAGAGCAAAGGAGCTATAACTTCGCAGCCCCTGTCTCCCACACGCCCCCAGTCCTGCATTGCTCCTCTCTGCTCAGACAAGAGTTTGGCCCCAGTGTACGGGGCTCCCTAAGTGGTTTTTCCCCTCAAAATTTTGCCCAGCTGACCTGTCCTCACCCCCATTGCTGCAGATTTCTGACCTATACCTGGAGTTTCTCAGAATTCGGGGCAGAAAAGCTGAGGCGTAAGAAACGGAAATTTCTAAGGGGCAGGATGGCTTAGTTGAATAAGCACTTGACAATCTTCTGGAAGCCAGATACAGCCCCCTTACAACCCTAGAAAAGTCATTTAATGTTTCCAAGTCCCATCTGTAAAAATGATAGTATAATGACCTCATTTTTCCTAAAGATAGGAAGCAAGAGGTTAAAATGCAACAATAAGAATACTCAAGCTGTGAACCACCATGATTTCATGATCCATAACCTGTCCTACAACACAAATGTTTGGACAGAGCAATAAAGGAATTGACAGCCCACCTAGGATGGCATGGGCCAACCTCACCCTTCAGCATGTGGTTTGAGTGGAATGAAGGGAAATTTTAAGTCTAAATCAGACCATTGAGCCTTGGCCAAAGACCCTTCCCTGAAAGATCCAGACTGGCTTTCTGAAATGAAATCGCTATACGGACAATGAAATAAAAGTATCAAAAGGGGAAATATGTAAAGAGGAATGGATTCCCATGGCTTCCAGTGCTCCAGCACTCAAGGGTCCTATTCCTGCTAACTTTGGGAAAGGGCTCATGTTGGAAAAAGGCCAGGAAATATCAAACAGAACAAGATCTGCTTAGAACTTCTCTGCAAAGTGAAGGAGAACTCTCTCTATTGGAGACTCACATCTAAAGCTTCCCATCCAGATGGCCCAGGGTTAACTACCACATTTGTCACTTACTTCTCCCCATGAGACACAGGAGTTAAAATGAAAACATTTAGAGCTTCATTTTAAAAACAATTTTTCAAGACAGTGTCTCTGAGGTGCAGTGGCTCACGCTTGTAATCCCAGCACTTTGGGAGGCCGAGGTGGGTGGATCACCTAAGGTCAGGAGTTCGAGATCAGCCTGGCCAATGTGATGAAACCCCATCTCTACTAAAAATACAAAAAAAACAGCCGGGCATGGTAATCCCAGCTACTCGGGAGGTGGAGGCAGGAGAATCACGTGAACCTAGGAGGTGGAGGCTGCAGTGAGCCGAGGTTGCACCATTGCACTCCAGCCTGGGCAACAAGAGTGAAATTCCATCTCAAAAAAAAAAAAAAAAAAAGATAATGTCTCACTTTGTCACCCAAGCTGTAGTGCAGTGGTGCAATCATAGCTCACTGAAACCTTGAACTCATGGGGTCAAGTGATCTTCCCACCCCAGCCTCTCCAGTAGCTAGGACTAAAGGTGCACATGAACATACCCTGCTAATTATTATTTTTTTATTTTTTGCAGAGACGGTTCTCACTATATTTCCCTGGATGGTCTTGAACTCCTGGCCTCAAATGATCCTCCTGCCTCAGCATCCCAAAGTACTGGGATTACAGGTGTGAACCACTGCATCTGGCCTAGAGCTTCATTTTATAGATGGTGATAATGATGATGATGATGGTGGTGGTGGTGGTGGGGGTGGTGGTAGTAATTGTCATCATGACGGTAATCATGGTGATGATTATAGTGATGGTGTTGATTGAAAATGATTATGCTGATGATGTTGATGGTGATGATTATGGTGGTGGTGGTGGTGACAATTATGGCAGCTATTGAAAACCTACTGTGTGCCAGCCCTTCTGCTAGGAACTTTACATGTATCATCTTCCGAAGTCCTCACCGTGACCCTTTCAGGGCACTAGTATTATTCCCATCTTGCAAATGAGAAAACTTAGAATCAAGAGATAAAATTCTTTGCCCAAGGCTTCACAGTAAGTTATAGACATTGCATTCAAACTCAGGGTTGTATGATTCCAAAGAACATGCTCCAGGATGTCTCTCTCACAGTCCATTTCAAATGCATTCTACAAGTTTGAGGGGAAAATTTCATTGAATATCTTCTGGGATGATCCTGTGTAATAAATTCAGTGTCCTCACTTTACAGATGGAGAAACTGGGGACCAGAGAGGAGAAGTGACTTGTCCATAGTCAAAGAGCTAGGAAGTAGCAGAGTTGAGTATAGAATGTAAGACTTTCAGATGCCAGGACCTGTGGTCTATTGCCTAGGGTAGTCCAAGGCACATATGAAACCCTCAATAGACAATTTCATTTGTTTTATTTGAGAGAGAGTCTCGCTCTGTCACACAGGCTGGAGTGCAGTGGTGAGATCTCGGCTCACTGCAACCTCCACCTCCTGGGTTCAAGAGGTTCTCATGCCTCAACCACCCAAATAACTGGGACTACAAGCATGCACCCCATGCCTGGCTAATTTTTGTATTTTTAGTAGAGACAGGGTTTCGCCATGTTGGTTAGGCTGGTCTCGAACTCCTGACCTCAAGTGACCCACCCACGTCAACCTCCCAAAGTGCTGGGATTACAGGTATGAGCCACCACACCTGGCCGCCTCAATAAACATTTGAAGAGTGATTCAAGAAGCCCAAGGAGAAATGAAAGTCATCTAGGATCTGGTGGTGGAATCAGAACCCAAATACTTCCCAGGCCTCTTGGCTTCCAATCCCAAAGAATTTCTCACAGCTTCTCTGGCCATTAGGCATGTATTCTGGGAGGGCCTCTCATGAATTCAGCTCTCCCTTAGGGAATGCCAATAGCTACCAGCTGCTGCATACCTAGACACCTGCATGCGTCAGGCATTGTACTAAGCACTTTACAGTGATTATCCCCACACTTCACAACGACCTGAAGTGGGTGCTGTTATTGCCCCATTTGCAGACAAGAAGACGAAGGTTCAGGCAGATGATGTGAAGCCCCCAAGCTCACACAACCAGGGAGCAGCAGAGGCAGCGATGCAAATCTCAGGTCTGTCTGACTCCAAAGTCTGTGTTTTCATGACCCTGCCAGTTTTTCCTAAACCAGCCCCCCTAGAGACCCTGTGGAAATGAAAAGAGGCCTCAACTGACCCTCTACTCTGGTTTCAACTAGAACAGTTAGTGGTGCTTTTAACTGCTTTGCATACTGGGCATCTGCCCAAGCCTTCATTGAAACAAGGACTTTGCAGCAAAATTAAAAAATAATAATATGGTTGAAACCGGAACTCTGCACCCTCTCTGGTGAGCATGCCATCTAGGAACTAGCCTTGCCTTGTCAGGGGACCTTGCCCCACCCTGCCCACCTCCCTGCTCACCACTGCCAAACCCCTCTTCTGTCCCCGGTGCTTCTGGAGAGCCCTTTGTTCAAAGAACCAGCTGCTGCTGTAAGCTCCACCAGCCTGTAGCACTGCAGCAGGGAGACACCTCGAAACCCAGACTCCTCAAGGCTGAGCCCAGCCAGGCTCTGATGCTCTCGAGGCTTCATTCAACGATAGAACATTGCGAAGATTCCTCAGGCCCCAATTCAGCGAGCTGCCTTGCTCTACCCTTGTTTTATGGAGCAGAGGCAGCCCGGTAAGACATTCCATCACCCCAAAGAGGATGGGAAATGATGATGGTAGTAATAGCTACAGCAACAAATGCTACCCACTACCTCCTGCACAATTCGTATATGTGCAGCAGCATCATCTCCTCCTCCCAAAAATCCTGTTTCAGGATGATAATGGTTTCATTTCTGTTTTATGAAATTGAGACTCCTAAAACAACTAGCCTGAGGCCATTGAGTTCATAAGTGGTGAGACTGGAATTTGAACCAAGACCCTGTGAATTTATGATCATTATGCTACCTGGCATTCCTAATTCCTAATCATCTCTCCTTTTGCAGGGGGCATGCACTTACTATTTAGCAGGTGCCATGCTTTATCTCCCCAGCACTATTCATGACTGACAACAGTGAAAGGAGGTTGTATTGCGCTATTTACCCATTTTCAAGATGAGGAAATCAGACATGGAGAGCTCAAGTGACTTGCCCAAGATAACACAGCTAGGAAGAGGGGGAGAATGGGGTGTGAATCTGAACAGTTTAATCTCAAGATCTTCTGAGCTTTTCTGTCTCCCAAGGAAATGAGCACTGAGATAGCCCAGAAAAAGAGAATGTTCCCATTTCACTTAGCAAGTGTAGTAGGCAAAATAATGGCCCCAAAAGATTTCCACATTTTCATCCCCAAAAGGCGTTAATAGATTACCTTAAGTGGCAAATGGGACTTTGCAGGAGTGATTAAGTTGAGGATCTTGAGGTGGGGAGATCATCCTGGGTTATTTGGGTGAATCCAATGTAATCACAAGGGTCCCTACAGGAGGGAGGTCAGAGGGCCAGAGTCAGAGAGGAAAGGTGTTGATGGAAGTATAGGGGGAGAGAGAAAAAGAGAGAGGGGGAGAGAGAGAAAGAGAGGTAGGGAGAGGTATGAAGATGCTTTGTAACTGGTCTTGAAGATGGTGGGAGAAGCTACCAGGTAAGTAATGCGGGCAGGCTCTAGAAAATGGAAAAGGTGAGGAAAAGAGTTTCCTCGAGAGCCTCCAGAATGAACACAACCCCACGGCTGACACCTTGGTTTGAGGAATTCTGACCTCCAG